AGAGGATTTATGAGGCCAGGAGAAAGGTGACAGCTCCTGGTGACATCCCTGGCATTTCACCGAGAACTGAAATGAACTACCTGCTCTTATCCTGTGGGTGTCCTTGGAGACACTGCAGGCGGCCCCCTGGGGCTCCTCACAGTGCCCTCGTTTCACCCTTTACCTCTGCCAGCAATCTCGGGGCCCACGTGACACTTGGTGCTTCATACTTTGGAACTTTCCAATTCATTTATTTATTTTTAAAGACTTCTTTTCTTTGAGAGAGAGAGAGAGAGGGAGAGAAGCAGATTCCTCACGGAGCAGGGAGCCTGATGCAGGGCTCGATCCCAGGACCCTGGGATCATGACCTGAGCTGAAGGCAGACGCTTCACCGACAGACCCACCCAGGCGTCCCTGGAATTTTCCAATTTAAAGACTCGCATGTACAGAAGAAGCTACTGAGTCTCACGTCCAGTACCAAATTGCATGATTAAAAAGTATGTTCTAGGGGTGCCTGGGTGGCTCAGTGGATTAAAGCCTCTGCCTTTGACTCAGGTCATGATCTCAGGGTCCTGGGATCAAGCCCCACATCGGGCTCTCTGCTCAGCAGGGAGCCTACTTCCCCCTCTCTCTGCCTGCCTCTCTGCCTACTTGTGATCTCTGTGTGTGTGTGAAATAAATAAAAAATCTTAAAAAAAAAAAGATTCTTTAAAAAAAAAATAAAAAGTATGTTCTACATAGAATGAGCAATTTAAAGTTAAAACAAATAAGGGGCTGTCAATAAAATTCAAAGTCCTTTAGAGACACCTGAGTTGAATATGACCAAAGTGCAAATTACTCATTTTTTTTTCATATGGCAAAATCCATGTAACACAATTGGCCGTTTTACCCATTTTGAAGGGTGCCACTCTGTGGCCCGAAGTACATCCATGTGCTTGGGCGGCCATTGCCACCACAACTTTTTCGTGTGGCCCAACTGAAGCTCGGACCTTTCAATACCAACACCCCATGCTGTTCTCCCACATCCCTTTACATGATTATTTTGTAAACGACAAACATAAAAAAACATCTACGTGGGCTGCCCTCTCCAGGTGATGCACCCTATGGTCTGCTGTGAGCGGCAAAGGTGATCCGCCTCCTGCCCTACCTGGGGAGAATCCCAGGGATGGCTCTCCAGGAGCCCTGACTGGGAAAAACCACTTTGTGATGGTCATGGGCATCTCTCTGCCACCAGGTCCACCAAGAGCAGAACTGGTGAGTTCCGAGAGCCACCGTGCCGCCAGCACGCTGCTGGCTGACCCCGAGAGAGTCCGAGAACCAACGCAGCGGTCAAGGGCATGAACCAAGTGAAGACAGTATCATCGGAACAGTCAAGTCCACTTAGGATTTTTAGCTCACTCTGCTGTCACGAGTGACACTATGTGTATAAAGCAGACCTGTGGAAGTCACCTGAGCCGCCACCCCTCGTCCTGGGGCCAACCGCGACCCCCGAAGGAGCATCCAGAACGCAGGAGACAAGTCTCTCCAGCCCCACGTCCACGGCTCCACGGGAACAGGCACCCCGGCCTGGAGGGCCGACGTGAAGGCCGAGTGAATTCCCTGCCCATGACGCAGCCATCGGCAGCCCCCAGGGGTGTCCCACATTCAGCAGGTGTCAGCGACACCCGGGGTGCGCGGTGACAAGCCGCCCGGCTGAACACACAACAGGCAGGCCCAAAGCGCCCGTCTCGATGACTGTTCCGGTGGGAAAAGTCCACACACGGATAAAAATAAGCGCCCGGATCCGAAAGCCACGGCCTTTCGTCAGAGCTGCCCACGATGCTAAGGCATTTTCGTCCCTTGGGCAGTTAAAACCGTACGTGTCTACACGTGGTCGATGCTCCGAGTGTGGGCGTCTGAGCGTGCCCCGGCGTGCGTCTCCGCGCACCTCGCTCTCTGGGGACGTGCTTTACGTGGACCTGGAATCCCACAACTAAGATGGCTTTTTGGCAGATATCCATGACTTGAGGGCAAAGCACAGAATAAATTACGGGGATTATGGGGAAGGAAACTTTCCCAATTCTTGCCTGAGGCCAGTGCGAACCGGAACGGACGCCTCCGGAAATGCAGAGGACCGTGCGTGTCTGTCACTATTCTTCAGCAATTATCGTACCGCAGATTTCATGCCGACGCACGAGAACGTGCCTTTAAACCTGCAGTACCAGCTGAGCTAACGTGAAACTGGGCATTCTGGAAGGAGCCCAAATTCCTTTGATTCCTTTGTATGTCTTGCATAAGGTTTTATTAGAAACACCCTCCCCTTCCTCCTTAAAGGGCCACTAAAAGCACAGACACCGACTTTCAAAGACCTTGGACGAGGCCTGGCGCAGGTAGCCCGGGAACCACTCAGTCAGCACCAGCCCGGGTGTGGCAGGCCTCACACCAGCCCCTCAGCTCACGTTTGCAGCCCTCGGCACTCAGGGAGCCTGGGAGGAGAGCGACATGGCAGAGGCCAGTCCTCAGGGCTCATAGCAGGGGCAACGCTGCCTCTTACTTCTGTACGGATGGCCCCAGACACCTAACTTTGGTCCCACTCCGTGGAAAAATGAGGCCTTTTCTCTCTGGGCATCGCACCCGCCTCTTGGGTCCAGGGAAAAACCCGCAGAGAGTCTTGACGTTGACCCGTGGTTTGTGTGGTTCTCCTGAAGAACCCTGCGAGTCAACCGGGGCACCCTCGGAGCAGTCAGCCTCAGCCGCCCCAGGTACAAAACTGTATTTATTAGCCTTGCCGGGATAATGCTTCCAGCTGGACACCGGAATTCTCCCCTGCCTGCCTGCGTGGGGTCTTCCGTTCTCTCCTGCTTGTGTCCTCAGTCTTCCCCTAAACACGGGGTCCCCCGCTCTGCCACTCGGTTCTGGGAGCACACAGTGATGCCGTGATCACGGCAGCCGAGGTCCCTCCGGCGATGTCTGGCACACGGGGGACTCGGAGTCTTGCTGTTCTACCGTCATGGCCCATCAGGCACGCGCGCACACCACTCCCCTCCTCCTCTCCCCTGGGCAGAACCACGCGGCCAAACCAGGGGACACGGTGTATGTGTGGATGCTGGGAGGAGGCTGCAAAGACAGGGCAGCAGCTGGCCTTCTCGACTCAAGCCGAAAAGCAGGATTCCTGAGCCACAACGCTGCACAGAACTGTGATTTCTAGCACCGGTCGTTCAGGGTGGAACTGCCTGACAGGTGCACACGGAACCCAACAGATCGACCCACTTCAGAGTTCAATCACGGCGGGGTGGGGTGGGCTGCGTGGGGCGGGGCAGGCTGTCAGGAGGCAAGTTCACAGGGATTCCTCTCTCTCTCTTTTTTAAAATTATTTTTTATTTATTCTTTTGAGAGAGACAGCCAGCGAGAGCACGAGTAGGACAGAGGAGCAGAGGGAGAAGCAGCCTCTCTGCTAGGAGGGCGCCTGATGCGGGGTTCGATCTCAGGACCCTGGTATCATGACCCGAGCGGAAGGCAGATGCTCAACTGACTGAGTCACCCAGGAGCCCCACAGGGATGTACCTCAATCCCAAAGCAGCCACCCATGGGAAGGCGGTGCCCTAGTGTCTCGCGCCTCCCAAGAGGAAAACGAGAAAGCACCACGGAGACGAGGGGAGCAGGACACAGCATGCCGTGCAGCACCCCAGGGCATGTCGTGGACCACACTGTCCTCCACATCCAGCGCCAGGACTGAATCAGAATCGGAAAAAGTGTATATTTTTCTCTAGCTTTATGAGCACGAAAAACATTTTTGATTCTTTATTTAAAAACAACAATAGAAAATGCAACCCTAAGCCTGATACGGGGCCTCTAAAAGGCACAGGACCAGAATGCTTATTTTTCATTTCCCTCAACTCGATGAACCAAAAAGTGACCGTTTCCCAACTGAAAGTAATTTTCTTTTGCACATGGACCACGATATTTCTTCTATTATATCTGAAATTATATATCTATTATATCGATATAGATATATTGATACATCTTTATTATATTGATATAGATATATCGACATATCTATTATATTGACCAATGGTATTTTTAAACCACTAACAATACAAGCAGACTTCCAGCAAAATCTTTTGCAAAGACTTTTGTTAAAAAAAAAAGGGGGGGGGGAATTTTTTAATGAAAGCTCTTTTCCAAAACAGTAAGTGTAGAGAAAACATTCAGAGAATGCTGGTCCCCCCCTTCTCTTTTCCTACGATGACTGACACAAGCTCCGGCCCCCGGGAATAAACAGTACATGGTCTCCTCCGAGGCAGACCTTTGGCACTTCCCTCCCCCCTTAATGCGGAGGCCTTCCTAGCAAAAACCCAGGTCATCCCCTGGATGGCACCGGTCTGGCATGCCGACACATCATGAAGATTTAAGGGTAATACAGTGCTGCAGGCAGTGACCCTTATGGCAGTAATTCTGTCCCTAGCATGACCTCATGGGCACTCACTCGTCCCCGACCTCACCCCGACGTCATCTCCAATCCTCCATTCCCCGTCCACACAGCGCCCGCCGCTGGCCCCTGTTGCTTCTCCAACATGAGGCTCCCACTCAGGACTCCGCACTGGCAGGCCCCTCGCCCTCCCTGGGGCACGCAGAAGTCCACACGGCTTTCCCTCACACACCACCCGGGTCACGGTCCAGTCCTCACCTCCTCGGGCCCCCTGTGGAACCGCATTCCTTTGTTGGCTCCGTCCCTCCAGCCTGCTGAACTCTCTCACTGTCCAACGTACTACGCGACGGCTCGGCAGAGTCCTTCCGTAACGGGCCCAACAGCGAAGACCTCCGACCCTACAGGCCGCGTGGTCGGGGCAACCACTCACGTCTACGGCTCCGGGTGGTGTGGAGGCCAGCGGAGCGCAGAGCCCGACAGATCGGTGTGGCCGTGTTTCCGTGAAACGGGTTATCGAAGCAGGAGGCGGGCCGTGTGTGGTCCGCAGCCGAGAGTGTGCTGAGCCCGGACCGCACGCGTGTTTTTGTGCTGATCGTAAGCTCCCCATCAGGCAAGGCGGGACTCTATTCTGTTTCGTCTACGGTTGTATCCCCAAGTGCCTGAGGGGTTCTCTGAGTTAACAAGCGATGCTTTTTGGCTTGACAAAGCACTTGACACCTACTGCTGGGATTATGATCTGCGGGCGAGGGCACTAGAATTTGATATTCCAACAGTACGTGTGACTTACAGCAGCTCACACAGTGAAGTCCCTAGATATTATTTTTACTTATTATTTTTTAAAGATTTTATTTATTTGAGAAAGAGACAGAATGCACAAGGAGGGAGAGCAGCAGAGGGAGAGGCAGACCCCCAACTGACTAATGTGCCTGACGAGGGACTTGATCCCAGGACCCTGGGATCATGACCTGAGCCACATGTGGATGCTGAGCCGAATGAGTTCCCCAGGAGCTCCAAGTCTTTAGATTTTAAATGGGAGAGAAGAGCCGCATCCACTTAACTTTCACGGAGAGTGGTACCCACTTAATATGACTTTGCATCTTACTACGCAAGATGGTGAAGGGGGCGCCTGGGTGGCTCAGCGAGTTATACGTCTGCCTTTGGCTCAGGTCATGATCCCAGAGTCCCAGGACCAAATCCTGCATCTGGCTCCCTGCGTATTGGGGAGTCTGCTTCTCCCTCTACCCCTCTTCTCTCCTGCTCTAAATAAATAAATAAAATCTTTAAAAAAAATGGTAAAGAAACTGTGAGGAATTTTAGACAAGACCAACCTAGCCAGGAAGGGCTTCCTACTATTGCCCCAGATGTCACTGTCCCGCACAGAAACGGACCACACACAGCCGTGCACACGCGGTGCAGGGCTCTCCTACCTTCTTCACGGCCAGGTCGTGGTCCACGTCACTCCCTGCGTCGTCTTCCGGCTCCTCCTGCTGCTGCAGGTCCTTCATCTTTATCAGCAGCTCTGCCTTGGGGGCCGACGTGCTGTAGTAGGTGGAGTTGGTGGCCAGGGACATGGCTGCGGGCGCACCTGGCTCCTCTCTCCTGGGGAACAAGGTCAGAACTTCAGTCAGCTGTGACTCCACACCAGACGCCCCCGGCCAGCCCACGGTCTGCTCTGTGACAAGCAAATGGGCTGCCAACACGAGGACCACGGCCAGGGGCACGAGATCGCTGAAGGGGGCCGGCAGTAGGCGACAACGTTAGAACTAAACGATACGTCGCCAGAGGGCTGCTCCAAGCCTACACAATGCCGTTCTTTTAAAAAGGGGAAAAGTCCAATAGCAGGGATGGCTAAAAATCTCCACGCAGGAGGGAAGGGAGCAGTGGGAGAGTTCCGGCCGGGGGCCTGAGCTCTACAGGGAGCACGTGTGTGCAGCTAACTGTAACCAAGGCCCCGAGGTCCCCAGCGCAACCTGCGCCTCTCCGTCTGCCGCCATGTCCCAGCCCCCGGCTCGGGCCCACCTCATCCGCTCTGTCCTTCTGTCCTGCGCTTCCCTGGAGCGCCCAGCTACTGTCCATGCAGGGTGCTTATGGAGACAGCGGACACCAGCAGGACAGGTGCGACCGCACACGCCCATGCAGGCGGCCTGCAAATGAGGCCGGCTGCAAAGGACAGTGTCCCAATGCCATGGCAACGCACCCGCTTGCCACGCTCCGTAATCAGGAGCACAAAGCCTCCTCCGTCACCGCAGACGTCCGGAGCCTTCAGGACGGACATGTGGAGCCTTCTCTGCTATGGGGGAGCCCTGGGCAGGGCAGGGTGGGGACAGCTTCCCCGGTCTCCACCCACAGGATGCCGACAGGACCTCCCAGGTGTGACAACTAAACATGTTGTGGACATTGCCAACTGTCCCCTGGAGGAAGACAGCGTCTCAGCTGAGAGGCGCTGTCCTCTCAGAGAGGAGCCTGCAGACAACACCCCGAAGCCCGCAGGCCTGAAGCCAGGAATGCACGGGAGCTGTGGTAGTGTCACGGCTTTGCCGGCCCCCCAGCTGGTATCCCCAGGGACGGGCCTCCGGGGTTCTTTGGGGAGGGTCACCCAACAGCCAACGTGGGCTGCAGCACGGGGCGGTGCTTCCGAAAATGTGCCCCTGGAAGGCCACCGCGAGAACAGACGCACGGGGCAGCCCCGGCCCCCTGCAGCCCGGAGCCGCAAAGACGGCGGAAGCTGGGAGGTAAGAGGCCCGCCGCGGCCCCGCCGCAGCCGCACTCACTTCTCGTCCGCGCCTCTCGGAGACGGGACTTTGGGCAGCAGCTTGCGGCGCTGCTGGGCTTCCTCCAGCAGGTGCTCGTCTTTGGGGAAGATGCCCTCCATGAGGTCCATGGTGGTCCTCATCTTCACACCGGGGTCCAGGATCTCGGCCAGGGACCGGTCCTTCCCCACGATCTCCCGGGCCAGCTCCTCCGACTTCAGGTCCTCAGCCGTCCTCTCTTTGGCCCTCACGTAGCTGAGGCCGGAGGGAGAGGCCCCGCCGTCCTTGGCGCCGGGCGTGGGGGCGCTGGGGCGCGGGGGCTCGGGCTCGGCGTCCTCCCGGCTGTAGAGGCAGAAGCGCGAGTAGGACTGCTCGGACGTGCGGAGGGTCTTGATCTGGTCCTTCTCCAGCCCGCTGGGCAGCGCGGGCAGCTCGGTGGCGCGGGCCAGGCCCTGGCGGCTCTCCTTCTCGGGCCGGCTCTCCGAGTGCACGATCTTGACGGGCACCCTCTTCACTGTGCCGCTGCCGTCCGCCACCCGCTCGATCCTGGAAAGAAAAGAGCCGCGAGCTGATGACACCAGGTGAGCCCCCGCACGGACGGCTACGCGGGCCCGACACCGGCGGGCCCCTCGCCTGCCCGGACGGCTGCGGGACGTGCGGCCACCGTGGGGACGGGAGCCTCTGTGATCCCCCAACCCAGGACTGGGAGTGGAGGCTGCGGAGGTCCCGTTTCCTGACCCCAATCATCTGGGCACCTTCCACTTTCCAATCACACACACACCTCCAGACGCCTGGCGCTGGAGCCTGGGGCGGACTCACTGAGGTGGGGGGTGGACCTCTTTTCGCGGCCGGTCATCGCCGTCCACTAGCCCCGCGCAGGTGCATCTTCCATGGGTGGGGAAGCCCGCGACAAGCAGCCTTCCCTGGCAGCCTCCAAGCGAGGCCCGCGGGCAGACTTCCCGACGGGGCGGCTACATGTGGAGCGGACACTGAGCGCCCGCCACCGCCGGCCCCAGCGTGAGCCTTCCCCCCGGGCCGTGCGCTTGCACTGCTGCCCCCCACCGGCCTCCCACTGCTCAGCGCTGCAAGCCACCCCTCACACGGCTTCTCAAACAGACACACGAGCTCCTGGCTGCAAATGCAGGGCACATGACTTTGGCATTATTTTAAGTGATTCACTGGGGACACACTTTTCCTTGAGAGAAAAAAAAAAAAAAAAAAAAAAAAGCAGGAGGTGGCGCCTGGGGGACTCAGTTGAGCATCTGACCCTTGGTCTCCGTGCAGGTCTTGATCTCAGGGTTGTGAGTTCAAGTCCCACTCTGGGCTCCCTATTGGGTGTGCAGCTTACTTTAAAAAAGGGGGGTGCAAAAAAAATAAAAAAAATAAAACAAAAAGGCGGGGGCACCTGGGTGGCTCAGTTGGTTAAGCGTCTGACTCTTGATTCAGCTCAGGGCAGGATGTCAGGGTTGCGAGACCGAGCCCTGCATGGAGTTCTGCACTGGGTGTGGGGCCTGCTTAAGATTTTTCTCTCCCTCTCCCTCCTCTGCCCGTACATGCTCTATTAAAAAAAAATGGGGCGCCTGGGTGGCTCAGTGGGTTAAAGCCTCTGCCTTCGGCTCAAGTCATGATTTCAGGGTCCTGGGATCGAGCCCCGCATCAGGCTCTCTGCTCTGCGGGGAGCCTGTTTCCTCCTCTCTCTCTCTGCCTGCCTCTCTGCCTACTTGTGATCTCTGTCAAATGAATAAATAAAAATCTCTAAAAAAGAAAAAAAAAAGAAAAAGATTAATAAAAAAGGTTTTGCAGCAAAAGGAGCTGTGGGGGCCCCCACGCTGAAGGCAGAGAACATGGAATGGGTCAGTGCGACGGGCCTTCATGCAGGGCTCCCCGAATGCCACGTGGTACCCTCAGCTACACCTTGCTGGACCATACCCAGGGACCCTGTGGACCAGGGCCACAGGGACAAACCTGTTTCAACTGTTTTTAAAGGACGTATTGGAGAAAGAGAGCCACCTGCTGGTTCCCACAATGGAAGGAAAACACAAGTCACAATCACAAACCCAAAGTTCCACACTCGTATCTAACTTAGTGGGCCAAGATCACTTCTACAATGTGACCCTGATGGACTGAATTTTGTGTAGCACAAGGATCATTCCAGTGCTCTAAAGTCAGTCCTTTTTTTCACCTTCTGACTAGTGGCTGGGAACGTAGTATTTTTTTTTCCCTGTTTACTGCAGTGTATGAGCTAAAATAATTTTGTATTCTCTTCTCTTCTCTAAGTAGAAATTCTTAGATGTTTTACCTAGGTATCCGTGTACAGTCATCCCCAATGCCCTCTTTGTGAATAAATTTTAAAAGAGTGGCTCTGGAAAATACCATTTAAATGTGCTGAACTGCAGAAGGAAGCTTCTGGCATCTTATCCAGGCAAAGACAGAGAGACAAGAACCCCTCTTCCCTTCTTCATTCCTTTCATTCCATACTTAGAAACCTACACCACCTATTACTGAAAAAAAAATTTTTTTAAAGTCAGTTCTACGTCCCAGGTGGGGCTTGAACTCATGACCCTGAGATCAAGAGTCCCATGCTCTCTCGACTTAACCAGCCAGGCGCTGCCCTCCTACTGACTGCTAAGTTGGCCTCTATTAATATCTCCCCGGCTTGTAGAGAAACTGGATTTCCAGGGCAGGAAGACAGGAAAAAAGAACACAATGAGAACACGTCCTTTGCACGTTGACCTATTACTTCCCAGCAAAGCATCTCTTCCTGGTGTTTTCTAGCCATACGTGGTCTCTCCTCATGAAAACTGTCCAGCCCTCCACATTTAACAAGCCTGATGAACTCTTACTCCAAAGTCAGGACAAAACACAGCAGATGAGACCTTAACACAACCAGATCTCATCAATTCCTAATCAAAAGGCAAGAGCAGAGAGATGGAGGAGGTGTGGTACGTTGAGCTGCTCTCCAGCTCTATGTCCCGGGGCCCCTCTCAAAGCGCCGGCTACCCACGGGAGCCCGGCTCCACAGCAAGTGCCCCACGCGGCTCTGCTCACGCCCGCGGCCCACGGGAGCCCGTCAGCTGCACGCCGCTCTGGCTGGGATGAGCTACAGGACCCACTCGGGAGACCCTCACACAGAGGCTCAGGGTGCAATGATGCTGTGCGCGTGGCCACGAAGGAGGCCTCCCGGCACTCCATGGTCGTACGCGCCCAAATGGAAACAGGCTCTCCGGAAACTCCCCTGAGAATGCTTCTAGGAGGGACCACGTGTCTGTTACTGGCCGCGACCCAAGAGGCTGCTGGCCAGCATCTCCACTTTGTAGTTAAAAACAAAAAACCTGCCGAGAACTTCTAAAGATTTGAAAGTCAGCTACCTAGCTTGAGGACAGGAGTTGATGCATTGTCGGGGGGAGCACGAGCGCCCGTTCTGAAACCCCTGGGGCAGCGACGCTGCACCCTGCCCTGCACCCCTGCGAGCGGCCGGCACACACACGCACATGCGGGACCGGGGAATACTGGAAGAAGGGAGACACCAGACACAGAGGGAGCGGAGGGGAGTGGCTCAAGCTCTGGAACCCCGAGTTTACGGAGGGCCGGGTAAGGACAGCGGCCCTGGGCCGAGCTCCGGCAACAGGCAGCGTGGGCAGCCCCGCCGCCGCGGCATGCTTTCCTTGCGGACCCGCCGCCAGTAGCGGACTGTGGACACCGACCCTGGGCTCTGGCTTCTCCTTTGTCTCCTTGGTCCCTGGGATTGCACATGTTCATACCAGGACTGACCCACAGCACACACTGTGGGGAACGTAATTCAGGATCCTACGAGCTACTCCCTTGATAGCAACTTCTAGAAGCCGCACGGGCACCCCTGCTTCACCGCGCTTCCCGAGACAGAGAGGACGTATTTGGGTGCATGGGTCCTGACGGCGACCAGAGTTCAGCTCTCTATGAGCACTGGTACAACAAGAGACGTGGGCCCAAGACAACCTTTTCTGGCCCCAATGAGACAGTAGATGGAAAACTCAGTAATGTGGGTCCCCAAAGACCCCTTTTCCCCTTGACCAGGATCTTCAATGATACCGTCACTGCTTACTGAAATTCTTCTTAAGCTCACAGGGAAGATGCAATGAGAAAATCAACACTTGCTTCAGGGAAGAAAAAAATGAAAGCTACTGCCTCCTTCCAGAGCGAACACAGGTCAGGAGCACCGTGGAGCTGCGGCTGTGTCTGTGGGAGAAGCCTGTGCTGCTCCCACTAGCCCTGCAGAGAGGGGGGCTGATGGGGGCCGAGGCAGGCCGGCTTACAGCAGCAGCACACACAGGCCCCACCACAGAGCACCGCACTGCCTTTCCTTCCTTTCACAACATACTGTGTCACCTGCCGCTGCAAGGCTACTTCTGTGATATCCACCTTGTGAAGGACGCACAGCACAGCTGTGGCCCCCAGAGGCAGCTGTGGGAACACTGCCACACTTGGAGACATAGGATGATACCAGGAATGTGCTCTCTGCAGAGAGGTTTTGAAGTTATAGAAAAAAGGGAAGAAAGAAAAAGAAAGAAAGAGCGAGCTTGAGACTTCAGAGCAGGAAGGTCCCCCAGACCTTTCTGGGAACGGTGGAAACAAATGCATTCTGTGCCACCAGCCGTACAGGCCTCCAACTGACATGTGGAATTTATTTCTCACTAACGGACATGCGCACGGCCACAGGGGACTGCTGGCGACAGTGCGAGACGGTTGGGGACACTGCGAGCTCTCCTGGCTGTGGGGCGGACCTGGGGACGTGGAGAAGTACCCCCCACGTCTGCCCATGAGATGCCAGGAGCAACACTCCCTCTTCAGCAGTGACACCCAAAACCTCTCCCGACACAGCTCGATGTGTCGAGCTGTTTGTCCTGGGGACAAACTGGCCTTCCCCCAGGTTGAGGGCCACTGCTCTAGAGAACAAGAGGAAAATTCTCCACTTCTGCCAGTTCTCAGTTCTTCACAGGCCCTCAGAGAGGAGGGAGAAAGGAAACAGTCCATGCTCTGGACTTGTGAGTCCCCGGCCTGACATCCGCTGACGTCTCAGTGGGCACGGTGGACAACCCCACGTCTGAAATTCTCACCACAGCTCCGTGCACCGTGACAAACACTTCCTCTGCTGTAACGACAGGTGTACAGCAGGTGGGCTCTTCACGTAAGATACAGGAAAAATCAGTGTGGAGGGACGCCTCTGTGGTGCATTCAGTTAAGCAGCTGACTCTGAGGTTGTGGCTCGGGTCACTATGTCAGGGTTTTGGGATCAAGCCCCACGTCGGGCTCCACAATCAGCACAGACTCTGCTCTAGCCTCTCTCTCCCTGCCTCTCTCTTTGCCCCTCCCTACCCTGTGCCTGCTCTCTCCAAATAAAGAGAATCTTAAAAGAAAAAGGAAAAACAGCATGGAAACCCTGGACATTATGAAAAACACCAATTTCTCCTGAAGGTCTCCTGCTTAGTTTAAACTGGATTCGGATTACAAACAGGTGCCTAGGGAAAACACAGGCCTGATGCGCACATGCACACCCGCCTTGGGTGAAAGGGGCAGGAGACGGTGCCCCACCTCCGCTACATCCCCCTCGCTCCTGCAGAACAGGACAGTCCCCCCAACCAAGTTCAAGATTCAACTGACCAGTGCAGCTGTGCCTTCTCCCCATGGCGTCAGTCCCCAGGAGCAACTGAAAATCCCCCATGCAGAGCCAAAGCAGGGCCCCCGGCGTCCAGCACCCGGGGGAGATGCGCCGGCAGCCTCCTGCGGGAGCCCAGGAAAGGGAAGAGCACAGGCCCACCGTCCCAGAACAGTACCTTGCGCAATTCTCGTCCTGGATCAGCAGGGGTGGTTTGTCGGTCAGCTTCTGGGGCGCGAACTGAGGAGAAGGGGAGCGAGAAGTCTCCATGGCGGACGTCGGCAGGGGCCGGAACCTGGAAGGGAGCGGGGCCTCGCGCTTCGGACAGGCTGCGTGCTCGTCTACATGCCGCCCGCTGTGCTCGCCGGCCGCCCTCACGCCGTCTTCCGGCTGCACACTGCTCAGCTTCTCCACCAAGGGACAGGGGCTGTGGGACAGGGACAGACGGTCCACACACGCCTCCAGGGCCTCCGGGGACGGCGGGGCGAGGGGCCGGCTGGGGGCACCTAGGTGAGCGGCCCCAGGCGGGCCACCGGCCAGCCCCTTGAGTTGCTTGGGTTCACGTTTGGGTGGTGGCGGCCTCTGTGGGGCTGGCTTCTTGGGGAGCGCTGCAGTGTTCACGGGCCTTGGGTCCTGCCCCCAAGTGTGCAGGGCCGAAGGGGTGTCCGGCACGTGTGGTCCTGGGCCGAGTGTTTCCTCTGGGTATCTGTAATCTCGAGGTAGGGTCCCCGCTCGGCAGCGGGCCTCCTGGGACGGCTCCGGAGGGTCCTGCTGTGCTGCCGGACCGACCTCTGGACAGTGGGCATCTGCTTGTCTAGAGGGAGAAAGTATAAAAATGAGCAAATGATTATAAGTAACATCTTCTCTCCATATGGGACTAAAACCCAGATCTGCATAATCTTAAACTGTCTGAAGGAATTAAATCTGTGTACGTTTTCCCACACATGTTCACACACAAGTTGCATTCTGGGGCAAAAAAATTTACACAAACATTTAAAAAAACTACGTTGATGAAAATTCTCCTACGGCTATATTCAGAAATCCTTATTTTGTGTCACAACGTTATTTTTATGTGGCTTACTCTGGGAAATTGCCACATACAAAGGGCTAGAACTTTCAAACATGAGCCACAAATCCATTTATTAATAACCTTTAAAAAGAACCCCTTTAAAATCAGTCGTGTGTTACTAAAAAGGAGAAAAACACAGACTTTTGGGCACTGCAAGCAGCTCACTGATGTTTGCATCCTGTGACCTGTTTCCAGTTCTATCTTCACTTTCTGGGCACATATGTGTGTGTTTAGTATGTGCACACACACACCCCCGCACGGAAAGACCCCCCCCCCCCAACACTCCCACCGCAGGCTTCCCTGGCGCGCATCTGTGCTGTAGCCAACTCTCATGGGCTAACAACGACCAAGCCTGAAACAAAGCAGGGGCGCACCTTTGCCAACACATGGTTTCTTTCTACTGGAGTCACAAAGTGAGCCTCTGATGGGACCTCCAGTTCAGGGAAGAGCAGTTTTGCACTGAGGAGACAACTGTGCTGTTAAAGGAAACTTTAAGAAGAGCTGCAACGGGAGAACCAGGAGACAGAGCACCAGTGCCCAGGAGAGATGGAACCTCCTAGGTAACAGTCAGATAGGGCTTTCCCCTGACATGCTGGGCAGGAGCCTCATTCCAGTGCCTGCCTTGGGACCCAGGAGTGAGCCGGTCCCCTGGGACAGGATGCCTGGCCTCCGTGTTACAGACGTCCCAACCATCCCCACCCCCGGCTGCTGTCCTGCAAGTCCAGTGTCCTGTGCATGTCCCTCTGACCATGTCCTCGGGAGAAGTGGAAACCCACACCATGTCCAATTCCCTCCCGTTTCCCACGGTCCGCCAGCTGAGGCCAGCCCCCCAGCCCTGTGCTGCGGGGGACACAGCCAGACCCTGCCCCACCTAGAAGCTAGAGGCTCTCCGTATCTGGAAGAGGGCATAGGAACTCAAGTCCCAGCAGGGCCCAGAGAGAGACAGGGCAGCACTGATGTGTGTGGGCAAGACGCTAACACACCGCCTCAGCTCAGAAGACACACGGTGGCAAAACAGCCAAGCACAAGAGCTGAAAATATTAACCCAGTTCCCGAAGTTAGCGATTTCAGGAAAAAAAAAATACACGATCAGGTACACACTAAAAGAAACTAGAAGTTTTCAAAATAGCTTGAACACAGCAACGGATGTTTGCAGAACAGAGCCGAGCAGCTGTTCGGCTGCAGAATCACACTTTAAACCCCGTGGAACTGAGAACGCAGTGCGAGAAGCACAACTCATGGCTCAGGTGTGTGCGAGGGGGTCTCACCCGCTGCGGGCACAGAATGCCTATGTCTCCCTGTCATTCAGCCACTGTGCCTCTGAAGACCATAAAACGTTTAGTTCACGACAATTCACAAGTGCCTCCCCAATATTTCGTTTCAGAGAGCTGAGCCACATTTGCATCTTTTTTCCTCTCCTACTAACATGCTTGAAATACAGCATCCACAGACCTGCAGGAAAGCACCTGGTGCTCACAGACACACACAATTTAGCTACAATGTATTGCTTAAATCTAAGTGCTTTCGGGCATGTGGATTCACATTTAACATGTTATCGATATATGTTATCTGTAGCGTGGATTCTCTATAGGGGTCGCAGAAACACAAGAGAACTCGCAGATGTGGAAGCAAGGACTCAGAGCGAAAGATCGGCTGCACAGAGCGTGCCCAAGGGCTGCGTCCGGGCTTCTGTCAGGCACAAGGTCTCACGGGCTCCCTCCTGCCTCCCCGGTGGGGCATCCTTTGCTGGGCTCTCACTTCAAGTATAAAGTCAATGGTGATAGTAAGAGCCACAGATAAAGAAAATAAGGATGTCTGAAGGATCTGTCAGCAAAAGCATCGAAGCCTTTTGCTCCTGGGTATTCCCAGAGCAGTGCCTCAAGCCGTACAAAGGCACACTGAAAAGGCCGCTGCATTCTGGCGTCCCAGGAATTAACATGCAGCGTCGGTTGCTCACTGTCATATAGGACATGCTAATGACACGTTACGAATGGGAACGCTGCTCCCGCGGGTCCAGGACGGGGGAGGCCCGGCGGGCTCCTCGCACCGGAGACTCCCCGAGCCCTGCCGCCCGCGCCGGGGCTGGACCCTGCCCGCGTCGTCCTTTCTCCTGGGCCCGGCCACTGTGGAGGCAAGTGGACCTGAAACGTCTGCAACAGGGCAGCGACTGAAACAAACCTGAGGAGGAAAACGCCCCAGGAAAGGCCATGGTGAAGGCCGCTCAGTGGCCCACACGCCCTGTGACAGGGCAGAGAGGACCAAAGGGCCAAAAGGAAAAAGATAATGTATATATGCATCCAGACACACACACAGCAAATGCTCTGGAAATCCCACGCCCACTGCTCTAACTCACGTCAGCTGTTTCGATCTGGGTCTGGAGAGGGCCAGGCCCACGTCTAAATGCCGTTTCCGTATCGGAGAGGTAGCCGCTTTACTTCCAGACTCCACCTGCTCATGATGAGCCCTGTGGCAGCCCTGGATTTGTCCCTCTGGGTCCCAGTTTTCTGCACCCCATCTCACAGGCCCTTGGTTCCTGGTCGCCCCCAGCATGGGACAGGTCTCACTCTCCAGTGACTCGCGGTTCACAGTCTCTGCTCTCACTGGGCTTGTGCTCTCACTCTTTCTCTCTCCCTCAAATAAATAAATGAATAAAATGTTAAAAAACAAACCAAAACACAGCTTGTCTGCCCTGTATCCGTGCAGAACATAACCAGCCAGGCTGTCTGAAGAACAATGCCACCAGGGAAGAGACAAGCCAGGGCTGGGCACGCACGAGATGCTCACAGCAAAAGTCTAAGTCTCCCGAAGGGATCCCCGGTGTCTGCTGATCTTCCCGTCCCCCAGGGAAATCCCAAGAGACGTGTATCACCTTGGGGAAGCACAGGCAGAAAGGTCTTCTGTCCACACAGCACCCCACAAAGGGCAAACGATGTGGGAAAAGATGACGGGCAAGGCATGGGAACACTGGGAGCGCCAGAGAGGTAATCAACCGAACAACTGATTCACTAATGACCAGACAGAAACACTCTAGAAACGTCTCACACCGCATGAACACCTGGCAATGATGGCACCACTTGCTCTTTCCTGGGAGACGCCAGATGAGCACAGGACTTCGCACATGGGGAACCCCTGTAGGTCAGAGGCTGTCTGGCTGTCCTATCCCAGTTTCCAACCACGCAAACAGTATCTGCCAGTCGAGCAGACAGATACACCCGTGATGATGGGGACAGCAGTTTCCCTACATCCTGTTCTAACTCTGTGTCTTGGAGAATCCTGTTGTGGGAGGACAGGAGCCCTGAAATCGTTTCCGATTCAGTCCTTTCTTTATTGTAACGTCTCCACTAAAGTTTTTCTCTCTGCACCGACCCCAAATAGGCTCTCTCTTCGTGATTCTAACGCCATGCGGGGAAAGCAATCAATTTAGAATGAAGACTGAGGGGCGCCTGGGTGGCTCAGTGGGTTAAGCCGCTGCCTTCAGCTCAGGTCATGATCCCAGGGTCCTGGGATCGAGTCCCGCATCGGGATCTCTGCTCAGCAGGGAGCCTGCTTCCCTTCCTCTCTCTGCCTGCCTCTCTGCCTACTTGTGATCTCTGTCTGTCAAAAAAATAAATAAAATCTTAAAAAAAAAAAAAAAAGTCTCCTCTAGAATGAAGACTGATACGTCATCTGTAGTTGAGTGGAGAACGGATTTATAGAGATTCCACTCACAGATGATCCAAAACCGAGTATACAAGCACAGACTTCAGGAAGGGCTGGTGTCCAATCACAGAAAACACCTATATTTAGAGATTATAACCTGCGACGGCCCAGTAAGTATCTAGCTCTGTTTTCAGAACACATGTTCTGAATCTATTCCAGGCCTCTTTTTCGTTTTTTTTTATGGCTAGAGACTCATTCCTCGTTCCAAGATGTGACACTTGGGAAAAATCATGCAAATTCCTTCTGCCAATCAAAGCTCCAGGCCAGTTAGAATCAGAGGCTCAGACAGATGGAATAAAAATGACATTTGTATGTGATTTGTTAGCTGCGTTTTCTCCTAGCATTCTGTTTTTGGCTGTCCTAAAAATATGTTTTGCGCAAAGTTCAAAGTGTGGGCAAGCCTGATACCAACTGCGATATTTTTTTTTTTTTTAAGAAGTGTCCGAACTGATGAAGTCAGGATTGCAGGGGCGAGTGGGGCTCGTCAATGACGTCACTCAGCGGCCGGCCACAGACTGCACTCAGTCTGCGCTGCAAGTCTGACCCGGTGACTCAGCAGGACGCCACTAGTCTTGTGTCCTTGGGAAATGCCACCAGTACCCCCATGGCCCAGTGGAGACCGGTCATCTCTTCTGATGGGGGTTCGGGTGCTCTGGTTAGGCCACACGTGGAGCACCCAGGACTCCCCTCTCAGCATGGGTCAACCAATGTCAGACCAGAACATAACGGAAGCAGGACACGAAATGCAAACTATGAGAGACGCAGGGTAAAGAAAAGTCCCCTCTGACTTCTGATGCCCTGAATAGCTCTTTCCACAAGGCATGGGACACTATTACCAATTTGAAGCCGATCTAAAGAAAATGTTTAGATCATCATCAATATTCCAGGCTTTTTGATCCTCCCAGGCGTGATGCTACTCTATCCATATTTATTTCTGGGGTTTGTAAAAAGGAGTGTAATGCTGCAGGTATACACAGTCTCCTGAGACTCTGTCCTTACTCCAACCCCTCACCTCCCTCTCACCCAGAATAAACCCTGTCCTGATG